TGCTGTTGAGTTCCTTATATTAGCCATTGCAATTAGGTAAGTAAATGGAATATGCATACAGATTAGAGAAGAAGCGAAACTCTCTTACTTGTAGATGGCATGATTGTTTAAGTATAAAGTCCCAAGATATCTAAAAAACAACTTCTAGAACTAAAAGATGAATAAAATAGAGTTGCAAGATATATGGTTAATGTACAAAAATCAATTTGTCAGTTAAAAATAAAACTATAAAAAATTTAATCATTTTATATATTAACAGCAAACAATTGGAAAATGAAAATTAAGAATTATTATGTTTGCAGTAGAATAAAAAAGCCTTAGGATACTTTGGATCAAATATACAAAAAGACACAAAAGATCTGTACATGGATCATTTAAAATATTGCTGAGAGAAATTTTTAAAAAGCTAAATCATCCATTATACCATAATCATGAGTTGAAAGACTCACTCTTGTTAAAATGTCAGTTCTCGGGCCAGCCCGGTGGCACACTGGAGAGTGCGCCACTTGGGAGCGCAGCAGCGCTCCCGCCGAGGGTTCGGATCCCATGTGGAGACCGGTTCCCGCTCACTGGCTGAGCGTGGTGCGGGTGCAACACCAAGGGTTGCGATCCCGTTGCCGGTCCCCGGTACGGGCGCAACACCGAGGGTTGCAATCCCGTTACCGGTCAGTAAAAAAGACAAAAAGGAAAAAAAATATGTCAGTTCTCACCACTTTGAAATATGACTTTATTTGAATCCAAATCATAATCCCAGCAAGCTTGTTTGCTAAAAACTCACAAGATAATTTAAAAATGTGTGAAACAGGCAAAGAATTTTCAAATCAATCTTGTAAAAGTACAACAAAGTTAGAGGACTTAAATTATCTGACCTTGAGACTTACTATAAAGCTATAGTCATCAGTGTGTTACTAGCATAAAGGTTAACAAATAGATCAGTGGAACTCAATAGTCTAGTACTGTACCCACATACTTATGGTCATTTGGTTTCTTTCATGTATTTACTTATTTTATTTTAGCATTTACTTGTGCATTTTTGTGGGGTACAGTGCATTGTTTCAATACGTGCATATACTGCACAATGATTCACTTAGGGTAGATGGCATAGTTTTGTACCCGTTAGTCCATCACTCCTCCCCCCAGTCCCTTTCCCCTCAGGGCCTCTGGTAACCATTATTCTACTCTCTACTTCTATGAGAACCACTTTTTAATTTTAAAAAAAATTATTTTAGTTTCCACATATGAGTGAGATCATGTGCTATTTGTCTTTCTGTGCCTGACTTCATTTAACATGATGGTTTCCAGTTCCATCCATGTTGCTGCAAATAAGAGGATATTTCTTTTTATAGCCAAATAGTATTCCATTGTGCATATATACCACAGTTTTTTTACCCATTCATCTGTTGACGAACATTTAGATTGATTCCATGTCTTGGCTATTGTGAATAGTGTTGCAGTGAACATAGGAGTGAGGTATCTTTTTGATATATTGATTTCATTTCCTTTGGGTATATACCCATACCCATTCATCTGTTGACGAACATTTAGATTGATTCCATGTCTTGGCTATTGTGAATAGTGTTGCAATGAACATAGGAGTGAGGTATCTTTTTGATATATTGATTTCATTTCCTTTGGGTATATACCCATTAGTGGGATAGCTGGGTCACACGGTAGATCTATTTTTAGCTCTCTGGGGAACTTCCATACTGTTTTCCACAATGGTTGCACCGACTTACATTCCCACCAACAGTGTAGATGACTTTCCTTTTCTCCACATCCATGCCAGCATTTGTTATTCTGTCTTGTTGATAATAGCCATTCTAACTGGGGTGAGATGATAACAACATACTGTGGTTTTAATTTGCATTTCCCAATGATTAGTGATTTTGAACATTTTTTCATGTGTTTGGCCATTCGTATGCTTCTTTTGAGAATTGTCTGTTCAGGTCTTTTGCCGATTTTATAATTGGGTTGGTTTTTTGCTGTTGAGTTCCTTATATACTCTGAATATTAGCCCCTTGTCTGATGTGTAGTTTGCAAACACTTTCTGCCATTCTGTAGGTTGTCTCTTCACTTTGTTGATAGTGTCCCTTGCTGTGCAGAAGTTTTTAGTTTGATGTAGTCCCATTTGTGTATTTTTGCTTTGCTGCCTGTGCCTTTGTGGTCGTGCTCAAAAAAGTCCATCCCACTCCCCCTATGTTTTCTTCTAGTAGGTTCATAGTTTCAGCTGTTAAATTTAGGTCTTTAATCCATTTTGAGTTGATCTTTGTGTATGGTGAGAGATAGGGGTCTAGTTTGAATCTTCTACATGTGGATATTTAGTTTTTCCAGCACCACTTATTGAAGAGACTATCCTTTCCCTACCGTATGTTTTTGGCATTTTTGTCAAAAATCAGTTGACTGTAAGTGCATTGGTTTGTTTGGGGGATCAAATACATTATGCTGAGTGAAAGAAGCCTTACATAAAAGATCACATGCTATAAGATTTGATTTATATGAGGACAGGCAAAAGTAATGTGGGGTGGAAAAAACATCAGACACGTGGTTGCATCTTGTAGAGATGGGGGATGGTATTGTATGGGAACGAACATAGGAAACTTGTTGGGGTTGTGATAATGTTGATTAGGGTTTGCATTATACAATTGTATGTATTTGTCCAAACTCATAGAATGAGACCTTTAAGATTTGTGCATTTGATTTTATATAACTTTTATCTTAAAATTAAATAATTTGGACTGTGGCAAATGATGTATTCAGGAGTGTAGTGAACTGAAGTCTTTAAGTTACTTTGAAATGTTTCAATAAAATGGGTTGATGTATGAACAGTGGGATGATACATGCATGATAAAGCAAATATGGTAAATGATAATTGTAGACTCAAAGCAGTGGGTATAGAGGTGTTCACTGTGTAATTCTTTCAACCTTTCTGTATGTTTGAACATTTTCCTAATAAATGTTGGAAAAATGTTTAATAGGATTTTTCATTATGTAGGTGACATATGCCTAGCAAAAATATTTGGAAAATATAGAAAATAAAAGGAAGAAATATTATCCATAGTCTAGCCATCCAGAAATAACTATTATTTGATGTTTTTGCTTTTAGTCTTTTTTCTGTGCTTCGTTTTTACTTTGTTTAATGGTTAGGATGCTATTTTATATGCTTGTATTTTATTTTTCCACAATAAGCTTTATAACCTATTAGTTCCACTGCCAGATGATTTTATCAAACTAACACACTATAGCTTTCTTAAGGCGTCCTCCTATTAGATTGTTTAGATTGTTTTCCATATTTTATTGATATATTGCTATAATGGATATCTTCATATGAAAAGTTTGCTCTCGATTTTAGATTATGTCATTAGGATAGGTCTTTGTAAGTGGAAGTCCCAAATCAAAGGGTGCAAAAAGTTTCAACATCCTTCATACACATTGTCAAATTTTTGATTCCCTCATCCTTTTCTTTCAAGAACAGTTCCTGGAAACTATTCTATTCCGCAGAACCCCCAGAGCACCTCAAATCCCAATGAAAACATCACCGGTCTAGAATAAGTCATTCATTGGCTATCTGTCAAACTAAATTTTTTATTTAATTTCTCTGCCGTTCCAGAGTTCAGAGAGGTTTAGTCATCTGCCTAAGGTCCCAGCTAATAAATAGCAGAGCCACCATTTGACCCTGTATGTATCAAGGCAGTATCCAGCAAAAAAAAAAAAGATGCTTAATAATGCTTATTCAGTGAGCACATGGATGAAAGGGAGCACCGAGGGCTTAAATCAGTTAGATCTATATTTCCTCTGTATTTCCCTTCAGAGCTGTGAAGGACTTAGATTACTTTCTTTCTGATACTATCCTGTATGATGTTCTTATTGCATGCTGGTTTATTTGTTCTGTCCATACCTACCTCATGTAAAGGAAGCAGGCTTTTGATTTTCCTTGGCTCAGGCCACAGAGTTCCATGTAAAGCTCATACGTTACAAGATGCTAATTGATCTACTATTGGAAATGTGGACCAGGTCCTGGTGACGTGAAGATTCTGACTGCTCTTCGCCCCCTAGGCTTCTCATGTGAATCACAAACGGATTTATATCCAGTGTGTGATTCTCTCCTCAGAGGTTGGAGTGGTCTGTAGGTTTCCATGGGCAGCAGGGGAATGTGTCCCCCCAGGTCTGGGCATCCTGTACCGCACCGCAGGCCCAGGTGAGGAGCTGGGCTGTGACCAGCACGGACAGTGTACTTTGGCAGGAGCAGTTCCTTGTGCAGCGGCATGAATGGGCGCCCCAGGAAGTGGTGACTCAGGGGCTGTGAGGGCTGCTGGCTTGTGGGGACATGGCCGTTCTCTGAAATGGAGACTAGATAGGGAGGGGGTCAGTTCCTTTACAGACAAACCCAGGAGGAAGGATTGTTTGTCCTTGTGTACAGAGAAGAAAATGGGACTAATTATTCCTTATTTATTACAATCCTCTAATCAGAGAACGAATGAAGTATTGCTGCGAGCAGCTGCGTGCTCTCTTGCCATACGTAAAGGGGAGAAAGAACGATGTGGCTTCAGTCCTTGAGGCAACGGTTGATTATGTGAAGGATATCCGAGAGAAAATCCCTCCAGCCGTCATGGGCCAGGTATTCAACTCCCAAAGCCTTGAATTTTATCCTTATAGACAGTGCTTTAGTGCTACAATATTATTTCTTTTTATTTCTTTATTTTTTATTTTTATTTTTATTTTTTAAAATTTTTTTTTTTTTTTGTCTTTTTCGTGACTGGTAAGGGGATCGCAACCCTTGGTGTGGTGCTGTCTGCACCACGCTCAGCCAGTGAGCGCACCAGCCATTCCTATATAGGATCCGAACCCGCGGCAGGAGTGTCGCTGCACTCCCAGCGCCGCACTCTCCCGAGTGCGCCACAGGGTCGGCCCTCTTTTTATTTCTTATAATTGGAAATCTATGTGTCTTTGTATTATGTAAAAATATCTATATCTGTCTAAATATATTTCTGTCTATCTCTATATTTTTCAGATTACAGAGGCACTTCAGAGCAATAGGAGGTTTTGTAAGAAACGGCAAATATTCTCTCTCCCGAGCCCAGTCATGGCACAAAGGTATGATAAAGGCTTCTGTGAATCCGAAGTCTGCTTATTATTTTCCTCTGATGCTGATGCTGGATGCGGAGATAGGAATTGAACCATCTACAGTGAAAGCTCAGGCATTTATTAAGGATCAGTGAATTTTCCCATTGCCAATGTGGATCATTTCTATAGTGATAAACACATGTAGCAATCTCAGATCCATGGTCCTTTCATCATCTGACTCACCCGTCTCCTTTTATTATTTCTGAGGATCTTAAAATGGGGCTTTGCGGCTCATAGCTGTAGTGACTGTGGCAGTCTTGCTGGAGCACTCTGGATTCCAGCATTCCTCCGTCCTGGAGGTCCCAGAGCAGTCCAGCCCTATCTCAATTAGCAGTCTTAAAAAAAACTTGCTAGTACAAAATGTAACATGCCAAATAATTGCTTACTTATTTAGATTTATTAGAATATGTAAACAATGAGAAACTATACAGGAAAAGCAAATCATTCCAGCATGTCCTGAAGCATCATCATGGGTTCTGTTCAATTCTTTGTTCTCATATATAAATAACCATAGTTGAGGCTTTGTCGGTGCTTTTTAGAACTTGAAGGACAGAAGAGCAGGTGAGCTCAGTGATATTCATGTTGTCTTCCTTGAGAAATGTGTAAAGTATTGTTCTGTCCTTTCAAGGGAAGACAGTGTGTTTACAAGCACTTACTCACCTGTGAGAGGAATCCGACTCCTGGCTAATAAGCGCTTGAACGTGTATTCCGTTCCTGCCGCCGCGGGCTCCTTGGATGAAGCCGTGAGAGGTGAGTCCCGCCTGCCACCTGTGCTGCTCGTGTGGCTTGGCCTTCGTGGCCACTGCACGTCCTGGGGCTCCTGGGCACTCGCCACCATGGCCGGGGAACCGAGAGTGGCTGGAGCATTACACACTAGTCCTTCTGCTGTTGTCAGATTGAAGTACACAAGGTGGCCACAGACATTCAAATACTGTTGTCCCTGCAATTGGGCTCACAGTTGACCAGACTTATCAGAAAGCTCATCTTGCGAATAGATGATAAGCACACTGGTGACTTGTGTATATGAATAGAATCTAAAGGGAAGGGCGGCATATTATTGTTAATTCAGTACTGACTGTGTATTGAGCATTTTATGTATTAATTTATTTGTATCTTTGCTTCTCAATCACTGGTTAAAGCTGCACACTCCACCTCACCATAAATACAATGCCTTACCTGCTTTCTCAGCTGTATTTTCCTTCATAGCATGTGCCGCCTTCTAATACAGTTCCCTTGTATATTTTGTTTATTGCCTATCTTCTCCCATTAGATTGTCAAATCCACGAAGGCAGGGATTTTTCTTTTTTTTTGGCTTGTGTTATTCATTGCTGTATATCTAGTGACCAGCACACAGAAGGTGCTCCAGAAATACTCATTATACAAGCATTTATGGTAGAACAGACATTTACTCAGTGGGAGGCATTTGGGTTATACGTGTTATATAAGCCTAGGCATGCCTGTGTACTTGTAGAAGTAAGAAGTCAAAAACAGAGCCAGATTTAACACAGCTACCAGTTTGTGACTTTCAGTATTCCTGAAGGTTACTCTCCATTGAGAAACAAGGAAGGTGTGGACCTCCTGCCCTGAGCGTTCGAGGCCAGGTGACAGCACTGCCCGTCTCCGCAGCCCCCTGGTCCGAGGCAGCCCTTTGGCCGACTTCCTCCGGGGGGTCTGCTCTCGTTTAGCACCTCCCCTCACGCTCCCTGCTTAACTCCAAGTCCAGCCCCTCGTTCTCAGCTTAAACGTTCCCGCCTCAAAGATGGGGACACAAGGACAAACAAGATGCAGTTCTCGTTCTTACCGAGTTTTCAAATTAGTGGCAGAGAGGGCCACCGAAAAAAATATGGCTCCCACAGTGTTTTATGTGCTGTGGTGGAGGTAGTGTGTGTCCGTGGGGCCTGGTGGAAGCCGGGAACGAAGGAGGTTACTAGGGTNGTGTTTTATGTGCTGTGGTGGAGGTAGTGTGTGTCCGTGGGGCCTGGTGGAAGCCGGGAACGAAGGAGGTTACTAGGGTCGGGGTCTAAAGTCAAAAGAGAAGGGGGCCAAAAATAGAACACAGCCCTCCTTGTCCATATAATCAAAGGAGCTGCAGGGTGGGGTGTTTTATTAGTCAATTTAGACTTTTCTCCTGACATAGGGGAGAGGGGAGGAGAATAGAAAAAAAAGTTGCCGTGAGCCATGGTTAATCTACTTAAAGTAGCTGTGGCTGAATGTGACATGGAATGATTAAATCAGCCCAGATTAAATCAGATCAAGGTCAGGCCACAGGCATATGCCTGTCAATGTTATTTCTTGTACATCGGATACTATTTCTATTCTGCGAAAACTCTGAGACACTTTCCATGGCAGTGAGTTCAGGCCCTTCTGAGCCCCAGCATCTCGTGGCGTTGCTACACCCAGAGAGGCCGCTCTAGGGAGGACAGACACACAGACTCATGGTGTGTTCAAACCAGGGAAGACCTTCAAGTGAGTGAGTCACACCCCCATTTTTATTTTATTTATGTACATTTGTCCTTTGAAAAGCCACACAATATAGATCCTTTACTAGCCTGGCCAGGATAATCACTGCCTTCATTTTTTATGAATTTCTTTTAAGTTTTTTTTGAAGGAGGTTACTAGGGTTGGGGTCTAAAGTCAAAAGAGAAGGGGGCCAAAAATAGAACACAGCCCTCCTTGTCCATATAATCAAAGGAGCTGCAGGGCGGGGTGTTTTATTAGTCAATTTAGACTTTTCTCCTGACATAGGGGAGAGGGGAGGAGAATAGAAAAAAAAGTTGCCGTGAGCCATGGTTAATCTACTTAAAGTAGCTGTGGCTGAATGTGACATGGAATGATTAAATCAGCCCAGATTAAATCAGATCAAGGTCAGGCCACAGGCATATGCCTGTCAATGTTATTTCTTGTACATCGGATACTATTTCTATTCTGCGAAAACTCTGAGACACTTTCCATGGCAGTGAGTTCAGGCCCTTCTGAGCCCCAGCATCTCGTGGCGTTGCTACACCCAGAGAGGCCGCTCTAGGGAGGACAGACACACAGACTCATGGTGTGTTCAAACCAGGGAAGACCTTCAAGTGAGTGAGTCACACCCCCATTTTTATTTTATTTATGTACATTTGTCCTTTGAAAAGCCACACAATATAGATCCTTTACTAGCCTGGCCAGGATAATCACTGCCTTCATTTTTTATGAATTTCTTTTAAGTTTTTTTTCCAGCTATATTTTTCTATAGTAGTAATCATGTTGGACATCCCATTTTGTGTCCTGATTCTTTAACTTAACTTGTGTCATCCCTACTTTAATTTGCAACCCTCATCACCATTTTAATGGTTTTAATAGTTTATCAAATGATTTATAGAGTAATTTTCTTAGCCATCTTCCAATTGATACATTTAGTGTTTCCAGTTTGGGGGAGAGTGATTTTTACATCATGTTGTAGGAAATACTTCCTTGTATGTAAAGTTTCTTGGACATTTCCTTGGGCTGGATACCTGGAAGAGTGTGATAAATGCAACCACACTGTTTTGTTTGTTTGTTTGTTTGTTTTTGACTGGTAGGGGGATCACAGCCCTCGGCACGGTGTGGTCTGCACCACGCTCAGCCAGTGAGTACACCAGCCATCCCTATACAGGATCCGAACCCACGGCCTCAGTGCTCCCAGTGCCGCACTCTCCTGGGTGAGCCACAGGGCTGGCCCTAACCACACTGTTTTTGAGAGAGTTGCAATCCATTAAGTCTTCCAAATTTTACTTTTACCAGCCAGGTTAGGAAATTGTAGGCTAGAGAAGTTAAATGATCACCCCAAGTAAGAGGTTTTCTGTGCTAAGCCTGCCCTGTAACATGGACATGTTTAGACTTCATCAGCTTGCCTTTTTGTGTATTTTTTTCCATAAGTCTGTGTACATATTTGCTTCAATTATTTTTCCTAATTATTTCAGATACATTTGTATTTAAAGTAGATACTGGATTACGTTATTTTACTTTCCTTATTATTAGTGTCCAGCAGAAAATGAATATTCACAGTGGTACCTTAGATTACATTGTACATTTTATATTTATTTTTTCATCTTCTAGTTACTGTATAGAATATAGATGTATGATGATATAACCTGCTTCGGTGATGGAAAACCAACCAAACTTCACTCGTGGCTGGATGGGGTTGTTCTTTCCAGCATCCTTCCTTGCTTCATGGGGATGGTTAATATTGATTATGATGAAAACCAAGCACACACACACACCCCAAAAGGCACAGAGATGTGTTGCTGCTCTAAGATCTCTGTCTTCTCATGAAGATGCATGAATACTAATTTATAGCGTGTGTATTGCACTAAATGTCACTACTAAAAAGTTCACGTTGTTCCATCCGCAGTTGAGTGTAGCAGTAGTGCAAGTTCATAGCATGAGGAAATGAAAGAGAGGACGTTTTATTTCAGCTGTGGTATTCAGAGTTACAGAATTGTGTATACTGACAGGTATTTGTTTTCTTCCTTATTAAAGGTCAGTCAAACTCCACATCGGAGAACGCTATTGGTGAATTGTGTAAAGCTCAGAATCCCAGCACAGCTGTCTCTCTCAACTCCTTCCATGTTGTCAGCTACTATTCCACAGTCGTCCCTCCCTATGATGCAACTGCCATTGCAAATCAGAACATTTCAATTCATTTACCATCAGCCGTGCCTGCAGTCTCAAAGTTTCTTCCTCAGCACTGAAATTCTGTGCTGGGCCAGACATGCACAACCCTCCGCAACTGTGTGGTAAGTCTTCGGGGGTCCATGGGTCAGATCAGACTCTTTCACTCCAGCCAGCAGGGCCCCTGACTTGCATTTTGTTGTTAATACTCTGGTCAGAAGCCCCTTACTGGGCCCTAAGTACTGTGCTAGTTTCTAAGTTACTCTACCCTGATGAGTGAAAATCAGGTGCAGTCAGCCTGGGCTCTGTGCCCCATGCGGCAGGGCATGGGGCACAGAGCCCCATGGATCTAGATATCCAGAACCAGTGAATCTGCATGTAGCTCTGCTAGTTTGGCCTGAAGTGACCAGATGGAGCCTGATTTCCTCTAGAGCTGAGTGCCCTACCCCTTTGGCCCTTGGCTTCTACGCAGAACTTCTATGTTGCACATCCCATTTCACCGTCCTCACCCTCAGCTGGCCCTGCTACTGGCTGCTGCTTTATCTCTTAGGCTGGCAGCAGTCACTCACAGATATCCATACCTGTTCCTCCAGTCTCTAACAGGGCTGGTTCAGATACCAGATGTCCTCACACAACAGACATTTATTGAGCACCCATTAGATTCTGGCATTGTGCTTAACTACATTGTGCTAAGAATATAGTATATAAAGATAGACATGACTCTTACCCTCATGAAGCTTTGGTATCAGGGGATGCAGACAAAGCAGCAGACAACTGTGGTGTGGGTTGGGGCACATAGAAGGAGCACCCTGCTATAAAATATGTAATCTAGACTGGGGAGGGCCGAGCCTGTGGCGCACTGGGGAGAGTGCAGCGCTGGGAACGCAGCAGCGCTCCCGCCGCGGGTTCGGATCCTATATAGGGATGACCGGTGCGCTCACAGCGCTCACTGGCTGAGCGCGGTGTGGCCGGTCTCAAAAAGGACAAAAAAAATTTTTTTAAATAAAAAATTTAAAAAATAGACTGGGGAGAGGTTAGGGGCTGCTTATCCCTGGATAAGTATTGTCTCAGCCAAGATCTAAAGACTAACAATTAGCCAGGTGGAGGGCTAGTATTGGACAAGGAGGGGAAGAGCATTCTAGGCAGATGGATCAGCATATGGAAACCATGGTATCTTCTTTCTTTCTTTTTTTTTTTTTTTTGGAAGAATGGTCCAGTTCTAGAAGAAGACGTAAACCAGATTGACCTGCTTAAAATGGACTTCTGAAAACCTTAACACAGTTGTTAGTACTTCTGCATATTAAGAATAGCTAACATGTTTTGAGTACTCAGTAAGTAATGTACCAAATACTCTGTACTTAAGGTGGATGATTTAACGCATCCCTGAAGGAATCCTTTGAGGGTAGGCACTATTATCTCCATGTGACCTCTATAAAAATGTGAGGAATAGTGACCTTCCCAAAAAACATTTGCAAAAAAAAATATGCTAAAGAGAATTACAAGAAAGTGTTAAAATATGAAGTATGTACCTATGTAATAATGTCGAAGACCAGGGTACATGAAAGAAAAGATTACAACATCATTGTCTTTTTATTGTTGACCTATACTTACTCTATGTGGTTTTTGTTGGAGAACTGTTGTAAGAAAATAATTACTGTTGATACCAATAAATAATGCTATTTTAAAACCTGTTTATTCACCTGGAGATTTCACATGTTTTTACAAATTATTTTATATTGTTTTAGAACACAGAAAATATACTTGTGACATGAGTAAGAATGGGCCAGGATTCAATTAATGTGGGTTTTTTCCGCCTCTCCTTTGAAGTAGCAGTTTTGGGCACATTAATAGCACATTTGAAATTCACACTCCAGACCACCTCCTGGGTGAAGTTTGACAATACAGGAAGAATGGAACAAAGAATGATTTTGAGATCTACACCCAGAGACCTGATATCAAAAGACCTGGCATCGTCTGGCTTCCAAGGAACTTGCTCAAAGCCTCTGCAGCAGCGAGAGTGCCGGCCGCTCACTCCCCTCATCTTCCTGCGTACTTGGATCTCCCCCAGCCAGAAAGCTGCAAGAACAAATGGCCTAGGTGACCTGGATTCTTTTGTCCCTCAAAAAAATTCCACAATTTATGAAAAAGTACACTATAAAGAAGATCCACGTGGACTGGATAAAGCAATAAGACTGGGAAGGTGCATTGATGCCCCAGTGTCACCGAGTACAAATATTGCAACTTGATTTTTATTTTTAGTGTCCCTGTGAATCACTCATTTATATCTAGGTCATACCTTTTCCATATTTGACATTTTAAAGAGCATCCTCCCTTATTCACCATCCAAACTAAGGAATCCAGAAAGAGGCCAAGAGAGGTCATTGCCTCCTCACTTGACTCCCGATGAATAAATTGACATGTTTGCTTTTGCATGTCCCAGTCCCTTGGCTGAAATGATAGTTGATAGGTAAAGTTTTTTTTCTGGATCTTGCGTTACAAACAAGCAGGTCTTCATTTTCTTTGTTTTTCATCTCTTCCTTCATATGGATATTAGGAAAGACTATTGAAAATAAGGGGGGAAGTTTTTGTTTTATATTTCACTGAAATGTCCTTACGCATAAGTTTTATTATTAAAGAAAATATTCAGTTTTGACCCTGAAAATGGTAATCCCTTTTGTTTCCTTTAAAAAATATGTGTTCCCTCTTTTAGTAGTACTGTATAGGGAATTTAATTTCCTAGAGTTTTATTTGAAAATTACTGTAGGCATAGCCTAATTTTCATGTTAAATTGTATAGCTTTTCTTTGAAGATGCCAAGAAGATGGAATCTGTAGATGTTTGACATACTTTATAAATGTACTGGAAGTTTCCAACTAAGGTTTCTACGCTTATTATTATAAATAGGTGCTTGCTTCTTCATTCTCTTGCCTTGAGGACTAATTTCTTTGGCCCTGGAAGAGAACCTGTTGAGGATTTGGGGCACTGGGACTATTGCCGATGTCCCCAGCTGGACTTCACTGCTGCTCAGGCTTTTGCTTTGCATCAGGGATCCCCTGGGTCCACACGTGGGCCACAAGAGAAGCCTGTGGCTGGGAATTCTTCAGTAGAGGACCTAGAAAGTGCGAGCCCCAGAGCCCCAGGCTACTTGCTGCTCTCTTAGTTCCCTTTTTCTTTCAGCATGAAGAGGAGGCTACCAATCCATTGTGAAAGCTCTGTTTCTTTTCAAGCCTGGTCCCCATGACCCTGAACTTCATGCAAGTGTTGAAATTTGTTTCTAATACAAAAATGTCATTTTTAATAAATTATTATCCTCTTCTGAGTGAGCTCAATTCTCAGCTAAGGAGGAAAGGTTAGTTGGCCTCCACCCATAGAAAAAGAGCGGGATATTCTTTGTAAAAGTCAAGCTGGCTGGTCATGAGACAGTTGCAGTGTTATTTTCACAATGAAAAGGTGCAAGGACCTTGCCTAGAGAAGGTGGCAGCTTGTAGGTGTCATGTGGGGAGTGGCAGAATTAGCAAGACTTGGCAAATGATCTGATACAGGGGTTGTGAGGAAAGGCAAAGAATGAAGGATGACACCCAGGCTTCTGGCTTCAGTGGTTGGGTGGAGAGTATTGATGCTCACTGAGGGAACACAAGGGAAACAGCATTTGGAGGGATGGCACTAGAAGGTGACGGTTTTATCTGGGGACATGTTGCATTTGAGATATTTGTAGGATACCCTAATGGAAGTAGCCAAAATAGATTAAATAGATTCAGATATGTGCAGTGCAGGCAGGAGATCTGGATGAGAGAGAACATGGTGTGGCCGTCATCAGCACTGGGACGGGAATGATAAAGGGGGGGACTCAGACATTAAGTGGTGAGAGTGGCCCAGATGACCCAGTAGAAACTTATAACCCTGAAATTCTATTATACTATAATTCATCATAGAAGTCACTTGGTCAGGCTCTCAGTGACACATGACATTACGAGTTACCAGTGATTTGAGGTACATGAGTAAAACCCTCAAAGGCAGAGCACACGAGTGGCCAGTGGCAACTGTTTACTGGCTGTTTTTTGAATTGTGGAAAATGTAATTTTTCTGAATTTCTGGCTCCTGAAAAATTCAGAATGAGGGCAATACTGGATCTGTTTCTAGTGTGCAAAATAGTATCAAACTGCTTAGGCCGAGAAGTGCCTCCCCCTTTGCATGGAGCATCAGTTTTCCTCTGGCTACTCTTCCCACCCAGCCTGCCTCATTCATTGGACTGGCTTGCTTGGGTTCTGCAGGTATTCCACTTTGACTTCAAAAGGGGCAGTGGTTCTCCTACACAAGGGAATCACTTTGGGATAGGGGTGGGTGCTTATTAAAATGCAGATTCCCAGGTCACACCCCACAGGGTCGGATTTGGTAGGCTTGGCTGGGCTGGTACGTGGGAACTTGCATTTCTACAAACACTGCCAGGTGCATTTGCAGTTATTAGAGGGTATCTGATTATCCCTCTTAAAAACACCCCATGCACATAAATGTATGCAGATCCCCACCTGGAACAAAGTAAATACAAACTAAAACCAATCGCATTGATTTCCAAACCTGGCGATGCATCAGAAGCACTTGTAGGTTTATTAAAACCATACAGTTTCAGGACTCTCTCAGAGACTGATTCCATAGTTCTAGAAGGGGGCCCAGGAGACTGCACAGGATGATTCAGAGGTACAGCCAGGTTTGAGAGCCGCTCTTCATTTATAACCTGCTGATCAAGTGAGTGTTAAGGGCTGAAGTCAAGCAGTGAAGCTCGGGGAGCTCAGCCGTCCCCAGTCTAGACAGGCAAGGGTGGAGAGAAGAGTTACTTCCATGCTGATCGATGAGGAGAGGTTTTGCTGAGGAGGTGGTTCCAGAAACTGCTGTGGTAAGTCAGATAATCAGGAAGTATCGCTGTGGGAAATTCAAAGGTGGTATACCTAAAGAGAGTGAAAACCCGGAGGTGAGGTTAGGGCTTCACTCATTCTATCTAGATGGCAATTAAAACGGCTTGCATGAAGGGAGGTGCCTTCAAATTCTTATTAGATATTTCATATTTTGTAAAATTACTCTAACGGTATTGTTAAAAGCAGAATGTCACTTCTGCAAAATAACCAACACTT